AGGTTCATGGGATGGTATGAATCCATAAGAGGATCTAAACAAAAAATGAGTAAGGAAGTGCGGCATAAGAGGATGAACTCATCGGCCTACCTGCCTACTGACTTGTGGTAGGGCGCGTACGAAGAGATAGTGCATGTGTGTAACGCGGGGTGGAATGCGCCGAGAAGGCTCGCGCCACAAAGCTAGAAAGAAATAATGTCAGAGTGCCCACAAGGTGCATCGTTTATCTTTTGTTTTCCCATTGTTATCGAAGACATTAAAAATCTTGGCATTCCTTGTAACATGGGACGACGCACGACGGGCTTTTTTGGCGGGAGGGTCCCGGGCGCTTACGTTGCATCGCCTTACGAGACGTAACAGACTCTCGCTTCGTTGGAATCCACCGATTCTGTCAAGGCGCGATCGACCGATAACCAAGAAATACGCACACAAATCAACTCACGAGTCCTTGTGGCATGCATGCATACACCCCATTTCGCCGTCCCCGGTCCATGCACCAGTCGTGCGAGTGGCAGCTGGGCGCGGCGGAGGCCGGCCCTGAGCCCGACCAATCAGGGGCCAAAGCTCTCGCTTGAAATTTTCTCCCTCCCTTCCGGTTCCATCGGATGTCTCTCAAATGGACGCCCTGCACATGCACCCGCGTCCTCCCGTCCACCTGGGGCCGGTCCTCGTTTTCTTTGACTGGCATATTTTTGGGTGGAATGAAGTGTCCTACAGCTGGATAGCGTGTGGCTCTTGAGCCGGGTGGTAGCACGGTCGTAAGGTAGGATTTGAAGATGGGCAAGACCGGCGTCGAATAAGGTTGGCGAGCCCTCCGGCCCGACCCTCATGTACGTGGTTTGTGTGAACAGAATAAGGTCTAATAGGTTCTGTGAAGTCCCATTTTCATATTTGAATGATACGCGGTTACCTCTGCTGCGGACATTTATTCCGGAGGCTACCTTGTCAACCTTCATAACGCGTTGCATTTCAAACCCGACACACGTGGTTCACAGGCGTCTGAGCAGCCACAGCAGCTGCTCGGAGAAATGGCGACACCCAACATAAATGGTGGCTTTTGTGATGGCCGTCGCAAAAGTAAAGTGCCTGGCGATGTGTATACGCCTACTACTACCGCCAGTACGCACTTTGCTGTCCGGCCCGGCTCCCTCTCCACCGGAGTGCCTGCCTTCTCGCTGCCGCTGTCTTCGAATTCATGCAGCCATGCCTATGCCGGCAGCAACAAAGCGGTCAGCTATGGTTCTTCATCCTTGTCACCAGCCAGTGTACTTCCCCGTGAGTACTTGCTTGAAATGCGAGAAATGATTCGACAGCGCCTGGAAGCCACGCCGGCTGAAAGAGAGACGGACCTGGTCGGGTTCGCGGAGTGGGTATCTCTATTCGTTGGAAAAGCCCTCACGAGTCGCCGGACCGGATTGCCCCTGCCTTCCATGGCTCTGCCCTGGCAAGCGCCACCCAGCAGTGATCATCGGAAATTGCGTCCAGGGATGGACAAGGCGGACTCGCCTGACAGGTGCCTCCGGCGGAAGACAAGCCTCAAAAATGCAGCTGTGGCGGACGAGTCTTCTCAGGTCGCAGCCGCGGTGCCTAGCTCCCCCTCGTCCAATTCTCTGTGCTCGGCGGGGGAGTCGACAGAAACCACATGTGCGGGGGTGGGGATGAATCCTGAGAGCGAGCAGGAGGACGATCAAGTGACCTCGCTCTCCAAACCTCCAGATGTGCCGCCGTCCGCGGCGCCTGAGATGACCAAGCCCGTCGCCCGTGGCCACAACAGAGAGATGGAGGTCATCTCCATCCTTTTGGACTTTTCTACTAAAGCCAAGGCGAACGTCGACGAGAAGCAGGGGGAGGACTCCTCCGTGGTGGAACCGATTTCTTTGACCAGCCAACCTTCTCCGAGGCTGGGAAAGCAAACGCCCCTCTCGAAACAGTCACTCATGGCACAGGATGTGTCCCTCGGTGCAGGCAAATCGCATAAAGGATGCAAGGATGAGAAGCCATGGTGCCTAGGTGTCGACATACAGCAGAAAAATGCTGGAAGCGTTGCGCCTGCAGTAGGAGCAGGCCTGGTTCCGCAGGGGCAGACGACGTCAAAGCCTTCCACGTCCTCGCCCACCCGAAGCGCCGCTCATTTTCAGCCCTCTGGGAAGCAGCGTTTGCAAGACCAGGGCCGTGAGGCGTCCGCCCCTACCCCTGGATATGTATATTTCATGCAAGCGGGCTGCCCCCGCGAAGGCGTGAGGGCCGGTAACTGGACGTATTTTCACGGCGCTGGCGAGAAAGGCCGACCCCACACGAACATTTTCATGGGCCAGCAGCTGCACACGCCAGGTGTTTCGGCGGAAGAGCGCCTGGCGGTGGCTGGTGTGGTACGCTACATCCATGACCCCACGCGCAATGCAGCACTAGTGCTTGATCCGCGGAAATCCGCTTTTGTCCTGACACCTCTTGCCCCCCTCCAGCCGTTGCTGACAGGCGAGTACTTGGAGGAGGAGGCGCGGTCCCGTGTCATGTCGCACCTGGTGGGGCGCTGGCTGGCCTGCCCGGCCCGAGCGTCAGAGACGTGGGCCCCGTCGACGGTGTCGTCCGCTTGTTTCCCTTCCACGCCGGCAGTGCTTGTCCGAGACATGCCTTCGGGAGCGCCAGCAGAAACCGTGACGCCCATGACAAGGACGACGGGGCACAGGCCGACTCAAGTGGCGCCGCCTCCTCTGTACGGTGACATCCACCCGCACCCATTCCCTCCCAATTCCATCCCCTTCAGTCATCCAGCTGCCCCTGTTAAAAAAGTGGTACCCCCTCCTCCATCCCCGAGACCGATGGCACCGCTTGGATCACAAGCTTTGCATCCCATGCAACATCAGTGGCCGGCATCCTTCCAGCAGCAGCAGCAGCAACAGCAACAGCAACAGCAACACCCTCCTTACCAATATCGCCGTCAACCTTGCTCCCAAGCCACTGTGCATTAGCTTTTTCTTATTTTGCGCGCTTTAGAGCGCTTCCTAGTAGGCGAGGGGAGGATTGGCTAGCCTCTATGCTGGCTTATGTTTGATACTGAAACAGTATTAGATTTGCTTTGCTTTTGAGCTCTGAACCCGGTCGTCGGAAGAGGGGTAAACTAAATTCATTTGAAAATGATATGACGCTGCAGATATGCTTGATGGTCGATACGACGTATGTTGCCATAGAGCAGTCGTCAGATAAGCACATATAGGGGTGGAGGGGTGTCGATGATTAGGAAAAAAAGGTTGTTTAATTAGAGTGGCTTTTTGAAGGCCATATCAGATATCGGACGTACGACAAAAAATGTAGGATAGCAGTTATGGAATTTGAGTTCTCAAAGCACTTGTCTTTTGAACAATGATATCCTTAGAGAAACTAGCATGGGTCAACGCCATGCCGAAATTCATAGTATGGAAAAAATCACATGGAGAATAGAGGCGCTGGGTACACAAATTTGTACCCTATCCCAAAAGGAAAAAATACAGTTCTATCGATTGAGGGCTAGTGCGATTCTGTAGAGCGCCATCGGAGCGACACACGAAGATACTTAATTGCACTGTCAGCGCCAAGATGGCCTGAAGGTTACTTTTACGGCCTCGCAGCTTTCCATAATGGGGTCCGGAAACGACATCAAAAAAAGACATTGGTTCATCAAAATATTGTCTCTTTCCTTGTTTTAAAAATCAAATGGGGCTTGGTTCGAATTTCCGTCTCCTACTTCTATCGCTTGAAGGTGAACAGTAACCTCACACAAGGTTCGGGAAGAAATTGCATCGTGATCATCATTACAAAAATCGTAATGCGCGTCTCCGCAAGCTCCAAATCCATTCAGACATTTAAGGCTTCTAGCATGAACACATGATTGCGAAAGGGAGGGGGGAAATTGCTCCACCCAAACCCTCGAATTTTTTGTAAGCGTACGAGCCTACCATACGATCCTCGCGAGTCGCTCACCGTCTCCCTCAACCCCGTCGCAAAAGCGCGGCTGAGGAGGAAGGCAAGATACAAAAAAGAAGTGCAATCAGGGAAAGGAAGATCGCAGATGAATTTTTAATCATAGAATTTGACAAATCTACTAGGCCTGCGACATCTTTTTATGGCACGGGCATAAGTATCGCAGCAACTCTTAACTCCTCCCCCCTGCCTCGGCCCCGGGTGCTCGCTGTCTCCGCCTTCACTTTCCCCTCGAGTGCTTCCCCCCCTCCTTGATCAACTAGTACCGTGCTCCCGGTCCATGTAAGCTGTGCACTTTAGTACGTATGTTGCCAGTCGGATTTATGATGACAGAAGCATTCGTACGCCCGAAGATACGAGCGTCAGAGACATCTTGCGCTGCTGAGAAGTCGGCCTTCAGCTTCGTCTAACCCACACTTACCCGATGCGCGCTTTTTCGGCAACAGGAATTATGGCAACTCAAGCGCAGAAGCATGACCGCCAGCTGCACCTTTTGAAGCCCGAGGAAGTTCACGTCGAGCGTGATGGCAAGGGCGACCAGGCAAGCACCCGGGCGAGAGTCGTAGCAGCCTCGCTGCCTCGAAGCTCGATCATCCAGTTCCTGGACAGTACCCGGAATGCAATGGTGGAGGACGAGATCGATTGCACGTCGCACGATGAAGGGTGTAATGTAGCCGGTTTGAACCCTCCAACACATCAGGTGCGCATCAGTGCCTATTTTTCTCATGTTGCAATTGTTCTTTTTTGCGTAAGCGTGTTGTGTGCGGCCGGTCAGTATAGGGCAGCCTATGGAAAGTCCAACACAAGCGTTATGTACTTGTCGTCAACATCATACCTGAGTAATTAATTACACATTCCTTGATCGATAGCAGCTGGAACGCGAAATTTTGACCTCCCTGATTGACTTAGTGACGAGAGAGGTCTGTCACACTGTGCACCGCCTGGTCAAGACTGGTCTCCTAAGTAAAGACGAAGTGCTCGCTCGACCCGTGACATGCACAACCAGCGCCCAGACTTCCACCGCAAATGGACTCCACGTTCCCGCAAAGGCCTCAGCCAATGGCAACAGTTTTGACATCTACGGTCGAGTTCCCCCCAAGGAGCCAAGATACAATTTTCAATGCAGCGCCTGTGCTCGTAGCGTCAGTGTTTTGCGCTACGCCCCACATTTAGACAAGTGTTTGGGAAAAAATAAGTCTGGCCGAAGTGCCGGATCTCAACGGAAATCAGCAAATGGTATCTCGGGCTACGGCAACGGCACCGATAGCAAGGACCCTGTTGCTGCTGCCGTTGCGGCCTCCGCGGCTTCCGCGCTCATAAAGAAGAAAAAGCGGAAGCGTAATTTTAATTCACACCCGGACGTGGCCTCATACATTTTTCCAGTTGGACCCATAGTACTGCGCCTGCGCGTCGATGCGGACGGGAGGGCAGTGCGCGTACTCTCTCCCCATGAGATAGCAGTGGTTGGGCTAATCACGGCGCCCTCGGTGCCCGCGCTAGGGGAAGAAAAAAAGCCCCCAAAAGCCATGACAACGAAGAAGCAGCAGCAGGAGAAGAACGTGAAGAAGAGTAAGGGAAAAGAGGAATTTTCACGGGGCCTCATCCCCAAAGAGATTGATGTCATCCCCTCCCCGGCACCCATGAGCGCGGCTGTCTTGCCTCAAGCTGGCGCTTCACGTGATCCTCCTTTTCGGATTGACCAAGGCCAAAGCCATTCATGTCCACCGCAGTACGTACAGAGATCACCTTCAATAGTACAGACGCAATACATGTCCTCTCAAGGGAGAAACACTGCTGAGCACCTGAATGGGAACTTTTCATCCATTTTCAACGGTCAAGGGCAGCAGGAAGCTCGTCACTCTGAAAGCGTGACGGGTGTCCCACTTCATTCGACACTACCTTATGTAGCAACATCCGGTAATTCACAGCGGCCTCTGATATCTCTCAATTCTGGCAACTTCCATGAGAAGGAGTTGCAACAGCGGCAGCAGCGGCCACACCACCAACAAACCAGTGCTCCCTCTGATGACTTCCTTGGCCGTCAAGATGCGCCACGGCAACAGCAAAGACATCAAGGGCACAAAAATCAGCAGGGAGGAGGATTCTGGGGGGAGCAGCATCGGCAGCTCTCCCACTCCGCGCCTCGAGCGAGGCAGGTAGGGGATATCACTCTTGCGCAGCAAAGACAGCATAATTTTCACGAAAATGCACAACAACATCTTCATCAAGAGGGTCACTGTCAACAGCACAACCAACGACAACCACAATATTATCATCATCATCATCATCATCATCATCAACAACAACAACCACCATCACCACAACAACAACGACAACGACAACAACAACAACAACAACACCACCAACAACAACCACAACCACAACAACAACAACAACAACAACAACAACAACAACAACAACAAC